AATAAAAACAATAATTTATTTCTAGTAGCAATAATATTAAATGTACATGTTTTATAATAAAATATTTATCAATATAATCAAATCATAGTTATTGGTTGTACCTAGATGTAATATCTGTGTTTAGAAGTAAGCTATTTATAAAAAAGAACAAAAAAACGAAATAAACATTAATACTACTAAATTCCCATGAAATTTATTTATTATATATTTAGTACACCACTCAACAGTTGAGAACCAATTACATATAGAATGGGATGAAAACAGAAAAAATACAGTTTATTCGTGAGATACATCATACACATTTTTAGGGAAAAAATGTTCAGTTACATTTGACTGCCTATATTAGAGCATAAAACATTTTAAAATTATCACACAAAAACTTACATACTATTAATATATACACAATATAAGAGATAATATAAATACAGTAGGTACCCTACTATTCGTAATAGTCGTATTTATTAACTTTACAAGCAGAATACAATATCTTCTTTTGCTTTAACTAACTGATTTTGTTAAAATTTGCTAGAATCTTTTGGACAAGAGCTAATTTTCTATCAAAAATAACTTTGAAATTTTTTCTTAGGCATTGCTTTCCTGAAATCATAATAATGCTTGATTATATGAGAAAATATCTTGTTTGACTCTAACAAACCTTCATTTTGTAAGTTCTCTTTCTCCTTCAGAAGCAGTTAGTGTAGATGAATGGGAGCTTACAGACATTGTGGTGTATATAAAATATAGTTCAGTGATTGAAATACATAATTGCTCGTTTGTCTTAGGCATTATGCATTACACAGATGTGTAATGTTGGTTGCATCACTATCGTCTCTAAATGACATAAGAAAAATGACGAAACGACAAATAAAAACAATCTAACTAGAGATGTTCGATCGTTCGATACATAGAAATGTATCGATTCGCTTTAACATTGCAAGCACCAGTATCGATACTCAAAATATCGATATAGTATACTAATGTACATAGTACAAGTAAATTAACTTTAAAATATGGAAGTGAAAAAATCATACACGGAGGTTTAAATAGATTTTAAGGTGTATAATTAAAAAAAAAATACAGTATTTCAACCAAACTAAGTATATTTAATATCTTATCCATATATGGCAGTTTAAATTCGTAATTATAGTGATGCATTATTAAGTGTTATTTTCGATACGATTTAACATATACATGTATCGATACGGGGTATCTTTAAGTCATAGAATATCAATACAAAATAACGAGTTTCGAATTCCTGAATATCGATACTGTCAAATATCGTATGAATAATCGAATCGCACATTCTAAATGTAACCTCACTTTCCAAGTTTCCAATAAAATAAAGCAAAACAAAGTTCTAATAAAATAATTAAATTCCTTTTAAAGAGATAATATGGAATACATTAATCCTACGTTATTACAAAAGTACGAAACCATAATTAATGAAATTAATATTGAACATGAAAAATTCAAACAGCTAGAGGAAGAACTGCAGCATGAAAATAACAACTTGGTTGTTTATAATTTAGTTAAAAGTGGAACTCTTGAAAAATTATCTCATATAGATGTTAAAATATTTAACACTGTAACCGAATTGTTAAATTTGTATGCGGAAGATTTGGATAAAACTATATTACAACATAAAAAGTATTGTAAATATTATTTAGTTGAAATCTATTTTACAAAACATTTACTTGACAAATTATCTAAACCAGATTGGCTAGTTTCAGTGTCAGTGCATTGTGATACTTTTCATCTTTCTAAATCTGTAAAATTACCAAGAAAATCTCAAACTATAATGGAAATATTTCCTATAATGGAAGGTATTTCAGATTGTACTGTAGATGCTTATTTAATAAATACAAAAAACCAATCAATGGTATTTAAACTGGATTCCGTAAATATAGATATATCTTACTATTTTTATAAATACAGGAGATCATACAACAAGTTATATGATAGTTTATACTTAACAAAATTATACAATAAAAGTTTAGATATAAATTGTTTAAAAGACTTGCCTCCATTGATGTATCAACTTACGCTTCCACTGGAGAAACAAAAATTTATTGAAACTGTTTTAAACAATTCTTATCATAATCTAGATGTAGAAATGTTTGGTGATTTACATAATGAAAATAAAAAGGATATTACTATTCAAATCGGTGCTAATTTTAACAAAATAGAGGTTGTATTTAATCATGACAATATGAAGATCAAAGGAAATTATAAGGATCTTCAAAAGTTGAAGAAATATTTTCTGAATATGCTTCATCGAAATGGATATACTTCTAAAAAAGTTTCTGGTTTATTAGAGGTAAATCGATATTTTTCATGAAATTGAATCACCAATAATCGAATGGTATTTTTTAGATAAAAAATACTTTGATTTTAAATATTGAAGATGCTGTTGTTCTATATAATAATACTAGAAGATTGTCATCCATTCTACCAGTCTAAAAAAGTGATAGCTTACAAACTTGTAAGAAACATCACAGGTGAGTCCTTTTACTTTTTCTTAATTATATTAAATCCAATAGTCCAATAGTAGTTTAAGATTTCTTGGCGATGACTGTTCAGGTATAAAAAGACCAAAAAAAAATAACAGATTCACTTGATAGGCATATGTATGTAGCACAAATCACTTGATTATAGACCCTATAGGTCAAAGTATTTCATTTCAAATAAAGAAGTAACTGGGATTATCAAACCAGTTAGCTGGACAGCTCTCATTTTTCAATAAAATCCTTTAAAATAAAAACTTCCCTCACTTTTGTGCTTATATGATTATTGTATGTTTTGTTTATACTATACCCCTTCAACTCACATATTTTTAGCCCCATTTTATCTTAGAAAAAGATGTTAAATAATTTAAAAATGTCAACTTCACAGAGCACATGTGTTTTTCTATGGGTACCAGACCTATAATCTTACATTTTTAAGCATAAATACCGAACTTAATCAAATTTTTAACAGTTTGAATTAAGTGTCCAGGTAACTGGTTCTATAAAATTCTTAAAACCCCTTATTAGATACTGTGTCTGAGAATTTATGACAGAGTAAAAGTTTGTTGATCTTTTTCTAGTAGATAAGTAAAGTACAGATACATATCTTATATTTGGTAACATTGCTTATATTTAAATTAAGAATGTACTGACTAGTTTTTGGGACACCTTTTTTCAACTATATGAGAGAGGTTTAATACTTTATTTAAGATGTCCAAAAAAGTAGGTAGTTTTCTGACTAATGGAGATTATAATGTAATTTAATTATTGGGTTTAACTACATCAAAGGCGAGATCAAAGGTTTATTGAGAAACTGTAACCACTTAAAAAAAAAACAGTTTTTTTTTTAATTACATTGGTTGTTTATGTATGTTTGACATTCGTTTTTAGATGCCCAAAAAAATGCTGTTTAATAACAGCAAAAAAAATCAAAAAATTAAAAAATTTCATACGTATTCGTGCGATTCAATTGAATCATCTTTACAGAGTATCAGTCAGTCAGCAATTATCACAAGAAATGCCAGCAAGCGGTTTAGAATAAGGTAACTGCATCAATAATTGATACTATTAGATGCTGATTTGTATTAAATAATTATTTTCACCACTAACAAAAAAAATTAAGCATATAATACAATTTTTTCTTGTAGCTTATAGTTTCTTGAGTTCATTAGTTATGTATTTTTAGTTCTAATAATTTTGCTTTTCATGAAATAAATATGATAAAAGAAGTGTTTTGAAGTACCAGTCATTGACACTAGATTTTTTTCATGTACCAGTAATTGACACACCAATTATTGACACAAATTAAGGAACATTTTTTTATTATACTTTTAATTTTAAATACACTAAGTAAATAAAAATAAACAGCAAATTCATAACACAAAAAATAAAAACAAAAAATGAAAATTTATTGGTGCTTAGGCTTCAAAAATATCAATATTTTTTGAAAATACACATTTTATTCTGTCGCCGACATTGTGTAGTTCCGGTTGGGATAACTTTTTTATGATATCCTCTATCTTGATTGTTGAAATATCACTATCAACAAGTTTAAAGGTGTTCGTTTCATTTGTTGATTTAAGGGATACAACTTCAATATCGTTTCGGGAATATTTCTTCTGAACCACACAGATATACCTATAAAAAAAGTTTTTCTCTTTCCTCCTAAGAATTTCGCTAAAATAAAATCTACATGGATATCGTCATATTTGATTGGTATTTCGTTCTCTTCTTCATTTTTTAAATTGACAGTGACATCATCAATACTGTCTCCACTTTCTATGCATTCTTCGTTTTCGGATGAATTGTCAGAACTTTCCATCTTTACTGACTTAGCCTTGTTTTGTATTTTTATAATGTTTTCTTCCCTATTTCGCTTTCTCTCTTCTGCCCGTTTTTGTTGTTCTTCTTGTTTTCTCTTTTTCTCAGAATCCTTTTTTATGTGGTATTTTTGCCAAATTTCTGACGTAATAGCACAAGGAATTTGCTCTTTATTCTTTTTTTTTGTGTTTTTTACTTCTTCCGGCCAAAACAAGGCTTTTTTAAATGGAGTGGGAACTTGTTTCTTTAAAGATAATACATTGAACGGCTTTGTATTTTCCAATGAATTTCAAGGAGATCTATCACTTTGTGATACAGTAGGAGGTGTAATATTGACATCAGAATGTATAACAATTTTTAATGGGGTTTAGAATCAACTCTTTGTTGTTGAAGGCCAGAAGGCTCTGGTCTCGAGTTGTCTAATATGTTTTCTACAAGATCATTTTCTTACTTGTTGCAATTTTGGTTCTCACTTTTATTTATGTTTTCTAATGGTTCAACACCTAAAGCGGATTCTATTTTAATTTTTTTTTCATTGTGTTCCATACATTAAATAGTGACACGTCTTTCATATTACCTGTCCATGCAGTATCAAAATTTGTTCGAAGTTTTTTAATTTTTCTGAGGGAATAAATTTTTCCAAAACTGCCAACCCTTCTATTATTCTGGTTTGATTAACTTCTGTCGACGGGTATGAAATTTTTGAAAATTTTACATTTTCTACATTATACGGCGAAAGTCCACATGCCCTAAATCCATGTTGAATTGTTTTATCTGTAACTTTAGATAACGCTTCCTCAAACACTTTTCCGAAATTTTCTTTTCGCAATATTTTTCCGCGATTTTCGATGTGCCAATCTCTTACAGATTTTTTTCCAAAATTGTTTTATCGGCTTAAATACAGCCACATCCATAGGTTGAATTAAATGTGTAGAGTTTGGATACAATGCAAAAAGTTCTATTCCGTTTTTTGAACAAAACTTTGATAGGTGTAATGTCATGTGCGACACATGACCGTCAATAAACATAATAATAGGTCTCTCAATTTTTTTCTCATCTAGCCATGGTACAAACATTTGTTATGTATTCAAAAAAAGTTGCTCTACACATCCATCCACTTTCGGAACGGCCTATTCCCCAACTTTTATTGATATTGACTTGGAATGCGTTCATATTTAAACACCACCATAGGAGGAGCTAGTGTCCCAGCGGCATTGGCGGTGACTAATACAGTTAAATATTCTTTCTCGTCGTTGGTTCCAGCATTGTACACGCTTTTATCCCCTTTTCGTGCAAGGACTTTATCACCTTTTGGTTGAAGAAAAAAGCACTCTCATTAGAGTTCAATACTCTGGAAGGATCCTCCGTTGCGACAAATACATTTTTTGATTGCAAGTTTTCTTTCACTTCCCGAAACCATTGTCGCAATTGTTGTTCAGTAACTATTTCGCGGGCTGGTGTTAAATTTTGTGCAACTCTTTCGCTTTTTGGGTGCCTTTTCAAAAACGACTCGTACCTTTTTCGACCTGGTCTCGAATCAGTGAAAGGGTTTGGTCGTTTACTTTCTTTAACGATAAACTGGACACTGTCTAGTAATTGCTCTTTGCCTACTGGATGGTGCACTTTTGCTAGAGAAAGTATCCACTGTTCGACAAGAGTTTCTTCATTGCTTGTGAGGATGGTACTTGGTCCCATTCGGCAATGTATAGGTATCTTTCCTGTTGATTTATAAAGTAACGTTGTTTGTGGAACGAAGTAAGTTTTAGCAGCTGTAGCTATTGGCATCCCTCTTGCTATAGCAGCAAGAGCTTCATCCAACTGAGCCGCTGTATATTTTTTTTAGGTGCTATAACTGTAATAAAAAACGTGTTCCAGTTATTGACACTTCTTGTACCAATAATTGACACCCCTTTCAATGACTGGAACCAAAAGGCTGTTAGATCTCATATTTAAATTGCAGACTTGTTAGACAGTATGACAACAGTGTATATCAGTATTTGCTTGTGGACCAGTGATTGACAGGGTATGTCAATAACTGGAACATATTGGTTTTGTTTGTTCCAATTATTGACACTTTAACAAAAATGATGTTTTAGGATTTACATGCATAAAAACCAGTTAAAACCCAACAGTGTTGTTTAATACACCCCCAGGAATAGTTTAAATAAATTTAACATGAAGTGATAAGAAGTAGATATATTCAATTTGGTATACTGACCTTATGAAATGTCTTAACATAAACACTCTATTACTGCACGTGCTCTTTTCACCATTTTTTAACTGACCGTGGTGCCACCTAACATCTGTTACGTAGGCTACACGGTTGCCAAATATTCTAATAATACCGATGTTTAAGATAAATTTCTCATATATAGTCTAATGTTCTTATTTTTGAAGAATAATTGAGCAAGTGTCAATTACTGGAACACTGTCAATTATTGGTGCATTTACCTTACCTTAGGCAACAATTCATGAGTTTGTCAGTATCTAAGATGAAAAAAAGGAGCTCCTGATATTAGGTGGTATAGAATTATTAATACAAATACAGATGCAGATCATAGATCATTTATGAAGTCATGACCTTGTAGTGTTGTCTAATCGTCAGAATACTCGATAAATGTAGGAAGTTTTGAAATTTTAAGATTAGGTTTTTGTTTTTGATTTTTTTGGTTGTGTTAATAAGAATAATTAATTTTAAATGTATGTAAATAATGGTAAATATTGAATTCCTTTATGCATAATAAACATCTGAACAAAGGCTATAAGGAAAATAAAACTGTAGGTAGTATATTTATTTATTTATTTATTTCACAATCCAAACAGGCTTCTAGCCTTATTACATGTATATAAATATTACAAATACTTTTACATAAATACATATTGTTACATGACAATTGACTAAACTAAAATTATAATATATGATCGGCGAAGTTGACAGATTCTACACCAAATTCTGATAAATAATGAACAGTGCAATGATGATTGTTAATAATAATGATAGTTTAAATCCTATAATTTTTAAAATAATTTAATATTACTTTCCACATGAAATGACATATTCCACGAAATAATCCGTTCCGTGAAGATACACCTGTAGTCCGGCGGGAGCGCACTAATAAGTCGTCTAGTTTAAGAGCAAATAAATATCAGAGTGTAACTAAATGGGACCTTAATA